CTTGCGGGACAATGCATGCTAATTATCAAACACTTTACATTATGACTATGCCTGAAAGGTGATAGAATGAATCGAACTACACAAGCTGATTATGTAACACTTCGGAGCGAAATGGCCTTTGAGATTGGTTGCGAGATCACCGTAAGTTTTCTCGAAAGGAGCTTCTGGTGAGCACAGGTCCGAAAGGACGTCGTACGCTTTAAAACCGACGACGGATATCAGAGTTGCTCTGCGTTTGAATCGTTCGTTTGAATCCGAAGTCATACCGCCCGCCATAAATGTATATTTCGTTGTCAGTAATATTTGTTCATCGTGAATGAAATAAATTGTTTAAGTTCCATAGAGTCTCTAAAAGAGACTTTAAGTTTCACTATTACGCTATTATAAAACGCCAAACGTCGAAACTAACAGGTTTCACAGTGTTTGCGCTATCTTTACCATTTGTCATCTGCGCAGATTAAGGTCTGTTCCTTTTTTAACACAACTTAGCTACAAATTTTGTTAATTGGCATCTTTTATTGTTAAAGTATTTGATAAGAGGTTCCACGCAAACCGACTGAGTGAGGTGAATCCAAGTCAAATTTGCATAAAGTGACAACTTGTAACCCAAGCGTAAACAATAATCGACACAATAATCGACACAATAATCGACACAATAATCGAGCAAAAAGAGTTTTGAAAACCATTATAAGTAACTGAAGTTTTATAAAGCAGAAGATTTTTATTAGTTTATAGTTTTTCAAGTGAACCGTTGATTATTATGTATACAAGTTAAGCGTAAAGGCTGGTTTCCATATGATCGCAGACGATCGCAGACGATCGCGGATCGCANTAACATTGAATGGAAGAATTTCTGATCACTCTAAACAGCGTGTTTGGACAGCAATCGAATGCAGTCCTAGAGTTTAATACCAAGTTGTAGTGTTTGCGCTATCTTTACCATTTGTTGCTAATAAAGAAAAGCACATCCCTAAATCTCATCGATCATTCTTGTCATCCAGAAGGAATTGAACTTCTAAAACTACCGTGCGTGAGCCTGAACGACTTCGAACTACTTGTACTCGAGTCGCGCCGAGTTGTTGCTCTAATCTGCTCTTCTTAAACCAAAAATATCGAGTTAAAATTTCTTAGATTATAATTAGAGCTAATTTAGAACTTAATAGCCCATAGTTTCAGGTATCTTATTTATCGGGCGTTGTGACTTCGATTTTGGGCGAAGTAACCAGCGGGCGGAGTGACCACAATTCAAACCAGCTGAAAGAAGGTCTGCTCGGAAAGCAAACTGTTTGTTTGGTTGTCAATGAGGCACACTCTGTTTCACCTTGGTAAGTAACCCGAAGTTATTCTGATAGTCTGTAGATCATAATTTGCACTGGTGTCGAATGCCGGTCGGTTTCTGAACACACATTTCATCTTACAGCAAAGGTGACATGTTATTCCTCTGATAATTTGTAAATACATCCAACCCTTCTTCAAAAAGTATTTTGGACGTTGGCGAACTGGCACATTAGCGTTGGCGCGGCGAATTGATCCAGGACGTTGGCGAATCGACTTCATACTCATCATACGTAGGAAAAACTGGTCGTTGGCGAAATGTCAGACACGTTGGCGAAACGAAAGCAACAGTTTGAGAAGATGAATATAAGCCAAGTGCTACGTTGTACAAGTCATGATCATGATCATGATTATCATCATCTTTGGCTTAACACTTTAATATCATTTGCGGAGAATGATTGCTATGCACTTGCTGCCCTCTTGCTTTAATTTATTTTACTTCGTATTTTTTTTATGGTAGGGGCCAAGTTGACCAGAAGCCGCAAACAGTTCTTTGTTTTTTAACCTGTTAAAAACTGAAACCACAGGCACTCTTTTCCCTTCAGGTGGATTCAGTGCCTTTTTGCAGAAACGGCAAATACGTTACCGTTCGCCTTGCATTTCCCCGTTCCGCGAAACCCGCGTGCGGTACAATGTTATAAAAAGCAGATACATCAGCGCGAGAAAAACCATCAATTTTGACAGGTTTAATTACCTTCTTGACTGATTTGTAACAGGCTAATCACCAAGGGGCGGAACGGCGCATCAAAAACAATGTCTACAGGCTCCCCCGCGTCCCACTCGCTTCGCTCGCGGATTCACGCTCCAGCTCCCACTCGCTTCGTTCGCGGATTCACGCGTCGCTCGCCCAATTTTTTTCCGCCCTCGCTGGGAGCCTGTTCACAGGCTATTTACGAACGAGCTAATCAAACTAAGACGCCCACGCAATAAAGTGTCAATTGTGATTGACATCCAGCGGTGGGAACAAAGGTCCATACAAAGCGCGCTGAAAAGTCAAGACCATCGTGTCCTTGTTTTTGTTCAGTCAGAAGGAAAATGAGACGCTAACAATTGCGTTCAGTTCGAACGCTTTCAGCTTGGAGCAGGCTGCTAGTTGAAGATGGGAGAAAAGACGGGGAAAAGGGAGGAGAGGGAGATGGGGACGAGAATGATGGGTACGACGCCCCACTCCCCACCCCATTCCCTCCTCGGCCACTTCACTCTCATCCAGTTCCTTCTCGGAACTTCCCGGATATTTTTTGGGATTTTTTTGGGAGGGGATCGATAAGTTTCCGAGATATTTAAAAAAACATCAAGATCTTTAGGGAAAGGTTAGGGATCTTAGAAATATATATAGCTTCATTTTATCTGAACCCTGAATTTTCCTCTCTATTTTCTTGAAACACTTAACAATATTCGATTCTATGCCAGAAGCAATCCATTTCAGCGATTACCCACTTGAAATTTAGCTCTTATTAACCGAGAAGGAGTTCTGTATGGGAAAATCTTGACCAAGGTTGTGTACAGGGCAGACAGAGACCTGTACACAAAATGGCGGATGCGGTGATGAAGAAAACGCTGACCTCCAGTCCATGGGCTACCCTGATGGACTTTCTTAATGGCATACCGTAAATCTTCGAATTAGCGCCCGGGG